TGTAACATGGTGTGACATTGTCACATTATTTGTAACATGGTGTGACATTGTCACATAAATCAGTATGATAATGTCACATAACACAGTGTGACAATGTCACATAATGCATGAAACACTGTGACAATATCACATGATTTGTAAAACAGTGTGACAGTATCACTATATGCATCAAGCAGTGTGACCACATCACATGATGTTTGAAATAGTGTGATAATGTCATTTGATGTGTAGAACAATGTGACAATGTCACATGATGTGTGAAATAGTGTGATAATGTCACATGATGTGTAGAACAATGTGACAATGTCACATGATGTGTGAAATAGTGTGACAATTTCACATGATGCGTGGAACTGCATGCCAATGCCACATAATGTACAAAATAGTACATTTATATAAAAAAATGCATGCAACAATGTAACAACGTCACATAATATACATAATATTTTGAAATTTTCATACAACGTCTGAAAATGCTTGAAACATTGTGACAATTTCACATGAATAATGATTTACACACACACACAAAATCATCAAGGGATCAAATGTTAACCATGCATTTTATTTGATTGACAGCTTAACTGATTAACGACAATATGCATACTGTTCAGTGTTATATGAAGAGTGTGATTTATTGTTTATGACAAGTCATGTTACATACACAAAAAAGGACCAATTACATGTTTCTATCATGTTATGTCACATATTATGAAACAAAACATAAAACACATGAAACATAACTGTTACAAACATAACAAATGACAACATTATAAGAACTGACATTGTAAATGTATGACATGTTAATATCAGCAAAACATGTCACTGTAATTCCACATTCTAACACTATCGGTAATTTTTCTATATAAACAAAGAAGGCCCAAATGCTTTATTCTACAACAATGCTCTCGCCGTTCTTATAATCTCGCTGTGTATTTTCACATTGAGGTCTCCATTTTGTTTGACAAATCTGATAAATAAAAACAATTTTTTGTCGAATTTTGTTGTGAAAACTATCTACAATGAAAGAAAAAGGTCTAACTAAGAAAATGAATCCAAACACCAATATCTTTAATTCAGTCGTTAACGCTGTACAGACGTTTAAAGAGTTGTTTACCTGACGTCACAATGTAGCGCCAAACAGCACGTGCAAAACGATCAAATCAAGTACGCTATTTCAATGTCGCAAACGAGTTAAGTTTTACGTTTATTTCACTTTTAAAAATTTGTATTTCGCTTGGAAATTCATAGACTGAAATAAAATGAACAAACAAAGTTTTATCAACGTTTTCAAAATTCGTTATTCTCAAAATGTTTCTACACACGGACATTTTTTTCAACCCACTGGACAACCTTTAAAGAACATTTCTATTGGAAACTCTGAGGCGAAAACAAATTTAACCACCAAACATGAAGTCCAACTTTTTAAGAATAATTATATTTTTTCTTGACGTGTTAAAATAGATATTAATTCTTCGTGCATTATTGTATAATAATGCACGTTTTTCGTTCAAATGCTTTGTAGTTAATCACTCAGGCCTATTGGCCTTCGTGATTATATTACTACGCATTTAAACTCAAACCGTGCATTATTCTACAACAATGCACTCAGAACTGATATCTATTTCCTAAATAGAAAATACAGAAAGTTACCAAATAAAACAGGCAAGTGGTCAAGGTCAGGATTTGTTTGTTTGTTTATTTTGGGTTTTACGTCACATCGACACAGTATAGGTCATATCGCGACGTTCCAGCTTTACTGGTGGAGGAAGACCTCAGGTGCCCTTCCGTGCATTATTTCAGGCACGAACGGGTACCTGAGTAGAACCACCGACGTTCCGTAAGCTAGCTGGATAGCTTCCTCACATTAAAGAATCCAAAGTCCCTGTCGGGATTGGAACCTACAGCGGTGAGGGGCAAGTGGTTTGAAGTCAACGACCTTAACCACTCGGCCACGGACGCCCCGTCAAGGTCAGGAAATGTGGGTTCAAACCCTGCTGGGGTCATGACCATGCTCCTTATATCATACCACATCAGTATTGGTTAGTTCCAGGAAACAGACTTAACACTCATTCAAATAAACTTCCTTTACAATCAAGGTATAAAAAATGAAATTTAAACTAAACAAATCTTACAAGCTTCCGTACATTATATGATTGACAAACTAGTTTGTGACAATTCAGTAATGTACATGACTTATGATAATTATATACATGTACAACTAAAACTTGTAAAATAATGCCTCAAAAATGCTTCACATAAGCAAATTTTACAGAATGAAACTTCAAGAATGATTTACTCCACAAGAGAACAACAACAACTGACAACAACTTAATATGTTATAACATTCTGGAAGGAACCCTTATCACACTATCAAGTTTTGATTCTTTATACAAGCAGTGTAAGAACAAACAAGAGCCACTCCCAGGCGGGAATCATGCTCAACTTTTTTTACTTCTAAGCTCAAAGCATTGAAAAAAGAATATTGCAGTAAAGAATACTCCTAGAAAACATCAGGGATTTTTTTTGCCTTATTTTATTGCCGATATTCGGTCATATTCCCAATCGAAAATAGTATATTATTTTCCCAATCCACAGGAAAAAATTCCCAATTGAAAGTTACAAAATAAAAATATTTAATTTTACAAATTCTAAAATCTTAGAAAATAAGGACTTCTTCACTGTTATGGTGTTTAATAGTTTGAAGATGCCTTCCTAGACAGTTATTCTTTGCATTCATTTAATCACTGCAAAATTTAAGTCATGCAATTTTTCCCAAATTTTAACAAAACATCGCTGAAATTCCAATTTCCATGGGTATGGGTCATGTTCCCAAAATCCTGGAAAAAAACCCTGAACATAAATGTCTTGAGCAAATTATAATTCAAATTTCATATTCAAGGTGACATTTGAAGTTATCATCATTGCCAGTTTTGTAATAAGTTCAGTATGGTCAACTAAGAGGTCTTTTCCAAAGGTTGTTGTGTCCAAGTTTAAGTTCAGTATGGTCAACTAGGAGGTCTTTTCCAAAGGTTGTTGTGTCCAAGTTTAAGTTCAGTATGGTCAACTAGGAGATCTTTTCCAAAGGTTGTTGTGTCCAAGTTTAAGTTCAGTATGGTCAACTAAGAGGTCTTTTCCAAAGGTTGTTGTGTCCAAGTTTAAGTTCAGTATGGTCAACTAAGAGGTCTTTTCCAAAGGTTGTTGTGTCCAAGTTTAAGTTCAGTATGGTCAACTAGGAGGTCTTTTCCAAAGGTTGTTGTGTCCAAGTATGAAGGCAATCCACTGACAAATCAACAAATTAAAAAAATTATGACTAATGTTAAAGTGTTCGAACAGCAACGGCAATGTCAATGACAACATGAAGGTAGCAATAGCTCTTTTTTTCTTTGAAAAAGTCGAGCTAATTATAGATAAAAAGCACTTAATTGTTGGCAAGGTACTTTATAAAACTGAGGTAATACATATTTAATCAGATCATTACAATATTTATCATTTTGATTTGAAATAAGTTGATGAAACATAAAATTATTCTGAGTCACATTATGTGACATCATTATTTTAAGTTTTAAAATAATAAATACCTATACATGAACATAAATTATATAATGATATAATCTCCGTTTTTTAGCTACACGCCATTTTCCAGTCTACCATCTATATGCACCTGTTACCATCCATACATATGTAATTCGTTGACACATAATAATACTTTTTTATCAATAAATAAATATTGGTCAAAAATGGAAAACTGTACATTTCAACAAATATAGTACTAACTACCAATACCTAAGTTTGATAAAACTACGTCTTATGAAAATAAAACATGAGCGCTGTCACTGTTACATCCTAATCTAATTGGTATGAGTTTGTTTCGTCCATTTCAAAGGGCCATAACTACCTTAAAATTATAAGGCCAGAAATATACTATTTGAAGATTGGTTGTAATTTGGTAATTTCTGAAAACTTAACAACTGGTTTTGAAAAAATATTTTGGAAATGAGGACACAGATAAAAACTCATGGTAGTTGCTAATAATAATACTAGACTACAAGAACTAAATTTTTTTTTCTAAAACTATTCAAATGTTATGCTGAAATTATTCATCTAAAAAAATGTATTTTCCATTGTTCTTGACAAAGCTGTACCATGTAGGTACAAGCACCACAACAACATATACAATTTGTTTATATCAATGTTTGGACAGTAAACATTCTTGTTTGACTTTGTATAATGCTAAAACTTAGAAATGTGTAGTAAAATCTTGATAAATGTCCACAAGCAAGAAGTTTTAAACTTTCCCTAATCCCTATTGTACAAATTGGAATGCATTAAAAGTCAAAAAGTATCACAGTTGTGTTATTTCCTTCCTTCTATTTCTGTCTAACAATATCCAATAAAATTTATTCAACAAAAACAAGAATATTCTTAAGAAATCAGCAGTACAAATGTACAATAGAATAACTAACTAGAAAAACCAGTGACACTCATGAATTATCTGTTCTAATATGCAGGTAATACAAAACAATTCAAAAGAAAAACTGAAAAAATTGAACATACATGTGTATTTTTTGAAGGTAAATTAAGTTCAATGACTATCAAAATGTCAAAAGAAAGCATTTTTGAAAATGGGTAAATAAACTCCATCTCTTTTAAAAAACACTTTTACATGGTTTCTACAAACAAGAGGGCCATGATGGCCCTGAAGTCGCTCACCTGTACATAGGCCCCCTGAGCAGGGCCAGTTTAAACCCCGGGGCTTTTATTTTAACAAAGTTGGAAGACACCCATTAGAAGATGTTTCATGTTAAATATCTTAGCTCTAGCTCTTTGGGTTCTTTAAAAGAATATTTTTAAAAGTTTTTACTATATGTATTTAGGGAAAATCAATGACCCCCTGGGGCGGGGCCAATTTTGACCCAAGGGCTTTTATTTGAACAAACTTGGTCAACATCCATTAGAACATGTTTCATGCTAAATATCTTAGCTCTAGCTATTTTGGTTCATTAAAAGAAGATTTTTTAAGTTTTTACTATATGCATATAGAGAAAATCAATGACCCCTGGGGCGGGGCCAATTTTGACCCCAGGGCTTTTATTTGAACAAACTTGGTAGACACCCATTAGAAGATGTTTCATGCTAAATATCTTAGCTCTAGCTATTTTGGTTCATTAAAAGAAGATTTTTTAAGTTTTTACTATATGCATATATAGAAAATCAATGACCCCTGGGGCGGGGCCAATTTTTACCCAAGGGCTTTTATTTGAACAAACTTGGAAGACACCCATTAGAAGATGTTTTATGCTAAATATCTTAGCTCTAGCTCTTTGGGTTCTTTTAAAGAAGATTTTTTAAAGTTTTTACTATATGCATATAGGGAAAATCAATGACCCCCTGGGGCGGGGCCAATTTTGACCAAAGGGCTTTCATTTGAACAAACTTGGTAGACACTCACCAGAAGATGTTTCATGCCAAAAATCTAAGCTCTAGCTCTTTGGGTTTTTTAGAAGAAGATATTTTAAGTTTTTTCTTTTGGTTGCCATGGCAACCAGAGTTCTGCATGGAATTAAATTCTTTGAACAATTTTTAAAGGTGACCACCAAAGGAACATTCCTGTGAAGTTTGGATGAAATTGGCTGAGTGGTTAATGAGGAGATGTCATTTAAAGTAAAAGTTTACGGAAGACGGACGAAAAGCGATCACAAAAGCTCACCCTGTCACTTTGTGACAGGTGAGCTAAAAAGTACAAGAACAAAAATCTTTAAATCCCAACTCAAAAGTGTCTGTACATATACAATTAATCATCAATATGTATCAAAACACAATACAGCCAATGTTGTGATAACTCATCTAAAATAAATAATCTGATGTAACTGAAATTCACACTTTATAAATATAAATTTTTAGCACTTCAAGCTCAACAGTAATGTTTCATTTTGTTTGGTTTAAACCCTTAACCTGCTGAATTTGTGTAATGACCTGCTCTGTATTTTGGACAGTTCATTTGAAAATTAAGGTATTTCAATTTCAAAATAGAGCTACTAACAGTATACAGGCTGGTTATACTGCATGAAAATGTAGACTGGTCTGGATCTACACAGGAGGGAAAGGCTTATCACAACATGTTAAGGTCAGTCTTCCAGCGTTATTTCTGACTAAAGAATCAAGGTATTCATTTAATATGGAGAAAATGGTTGAACCTTAGTGACCAAATCATGCCCGAGGAACATACCTTAATTACTCATTATAAAGACTACTGATTGTAACAAATGTCTCTTTCAGAAATGATGTCAATGCATAAGTAAGTAAAGATATACAAGGCTCATCCTTGAGTGCAATATTTTACTTGCAGAAATTTATTGAAATCTATGAAATTCTTTCTGAATATGTCTAATATGAATAAAAGAATAAAAAAAATATGTATGGTAAGCCGTTTCCCTATAACAGGTCAAGTAAAGTTGCTCTTTTCTTAAAAAACCCCCCAAAAAACCCCCAAAAAACGGCCAGTTTTTTTAATGACACTATATATTCATATTGTAACCAACTATAGTGTTTAAACATAACATATCTACTTTGTGGGAAGTCAAAACATGTTTACCTTATATTTACAAAGAGACTGTGTAGCAATTATCATTAATTTTTAATATCAAATTTGAGCATATCTTTAACATGTATATTCCAAATTAAGATACCACAGCCTAAGTTACTGCAAAACCTGAAGCCATCATATGTATAGACAGATAGTCATAACTATTCTACTGTTTGTCTAAATTTTAAACTATAATGGCAGAAAAATGAGGAAAATATGATTGGCAAGTTGAACAAGTACATTGTATTTATCAAAACAAAATTGTATAAAATCGGATCATCATCACAATACATTGTACTAAACTATAATATACCATTCAATTAAAGCATATGAGTATAATTTTGAGGTAATTGTGTTGCTTGTTCAAAAAAGATTATTGTTTACTATACAAAGCACTTCATGTTCACATTACAAATATATTACAATATACTGATTCCTTAAATATCTTAACTTTACACACTTGATTCCTTAAGGTATTCAGATTTCATTTTTTGCCTCATTTTTATTTCCTTTTCCTGTAGAGCCATTTTTGTCAGCATTTTAGCGGTCTGTAAGTGAGGCTGATATCTTGGAAAGTCACTACTGTGGTCTTGATATAGGTGTGGATTATATGTATTTATAGGGGCACGAGACCTCGGTTGGTGGTATAATATTCTAGGATCAGCAGTATGACGATGTAGATAATCGTTTTCTGCAAACTGTTCTATATGATAATCTTGTCTGATAGGCTGCATCGTGGCATACCTGCTGGCACGTTCAAAGTTGGATGTGTCATCAATAGGCTGTGACAAATAGTACTGCTCATGTATGTCATCTGTGTTCACCTGGTGATAGGACATTGGTCGCTCCGCCTTCACCCTCATACTTCTTCTCTCTGTTAATAAATAACATACATACTATTTTAGAATTGACCAACCATTTAAGGAAACAAATAATGGAAATGAAGGGAAAACAAATGCAAAAGCATGTGGTGTTAACGCTTGTCTGCTAAGGGCAATGACAATCTTGGTAGACACCCACTAGAAGATGTTTCATGATTAATGTCTAAGCTCTAGCTATTTGGGTTTTTTAAAGAAGATTTTTTCAACTTTTTACTATATACAAATATGGAAAATCAGTTACCCCCCGGGGCGAGGCCAATTTTGACCCCCAGGGCTTTTATTTGAACAAACTTGGTAGACACTGACTAGATGATGTTTCATGCTAAAGATTTAAGCTCTAGCTCTTTCGGTTTTTTAAAAGAAGATTTTTAAAGTTTTTTCTTTCGGTTGCCATTCTGCAATGAATTAAATTCTTTGATTGACTACCAAAGGAACATTCCTGGGAAATTTGGATGAAATTGGCTGAGCGGTTTATCATACTTTATGAGGAGGTGTCGTATAAAGTAAAAGTTTATGGATGGACGGACACCAGAGGGCCGGATGCCGGACGAAAAGCGATCACAAAAGCTCACCATGTCACTTTGTGACAGGTGAGCTAAAGAGATGAAAATATCAATAATTTGTTCTTCAAAGTCAAGGTCATTTATCAGTGAAGGCCAAGGTTTGTCTGGTTAACTTAAAGGGCTATCCTAAAAGTTTATTACATATATGTTCAAGTTTGAAGACAATCCATTCAAAAATAACAAAGTTCAAGGTCATTTGTGGATGAATGTCAAGGTTAATCTGGTTTACTGAAAGGTCTTGCCCCAAGGGTTGTTGTGGCCAAGTATGAAGACAATACACCAAGAACTTAAAAAGTTATGATCAAGGTACAAGTTTGCGGACGGCGATGGCAACGCCGAAGCGACTGTAACGACCGATACATAAAGAAAAATATTCTATAACGGTACATGATAATGCAATTATACAATACCGGTAGTTGACATAATAATTCCGACATATACAGTAGGGAAAGGTTTAATTTTCTGCAGTTTTTAAATCTGCGGTGTCATTATGAAAATCAGAAATAGCAAATTTAAAGTTCCCGCAGAAAAAAGTACTTATATGGTACCTATATTGAAAAAAAAGAAAAAAAGTCGAGCTAAAAAGGAGAGAAATAACAGATATGTATAGAAAACATTCAAACAGTTTGCAGTTATTTGAAGCCATCAGCATTCTATGACTCTTAATCCCATATTAACTATTTCAAAGAAAGTTTTACAAGAAAGTTACTTACCATGTCTGTCAGCTGATCTATTCCTTGTTCTTGTTTCTCCTCTATTACTTGACCTTCTTGAATCAAGTTCACTTCTACCTCTTTTATACTGTTCTTCTGTTCTCTCACCAATAATGACTGGTCTACTGTCACTGTAGGCCGGTTCTCTAGTACTTAATGCAGTAGACCTATACTCTACATTACTGACTGGTTTATCAGTATAATCTGGTACCCTATTTTCGCTATATTCATTCCCTCTAACATAAGCAGAGACTGGTCTACTGGGAACCATTCTGTCATGTGCAGTATTGATAGCACTCTGCCTATGTGCAGTATGACTAGCTTTAACAGGAAGAGGGGGCTTATCAGCACTTGTTCGAACTTCTGCAGGTAAACTTCTTGGCTGCTTATCTAATATTGCATGACCTTCAACTTCCAGCCGCTGACTTTCATACTGGGGCAGTGGCACTCTCGGTGGAACAGAAAATTGTCTGTCAATGGCTGGTCTATTACTGTTATCGGAATACTGTTTTCTTTGTGGTTGAGGAGTAGACCAACCACGACCAGTTACAACCGGAGGGGAAGGTGATTTACGTACTTGTTGTGGAGTTGCAAACACATCTGGTCTCGGTGGGGGGTTATTATTATTAGACACACTGTTGACAACTTTTTGATTATCAGTTTTTGGTGGATTGTCATTTTGTCTTCTACCATCCATGTTACCAGAGCTGTCTTTATAGATTTGATTTGAATGGATTTTTAACTTTGGCACATATCCATTTAATTGAACACTATCTCTTTCATTGTTTAAGATATTTGATTTATTTCTGCTGCTTTGGTTCTGATACAAAACAGCGGCCGTCCTACTACAATCATCTAGTGGTGATGGAGGAGAACTATCAGTGGGACTTATTTCACTACCAGATGTGAACGAATGACTGTTCTTACTAGAATCAACACTATCCGATCTTCGGTAAATATTTTTCACATTACGTGGTGATGGCACTGAACCATCCACTCTATCATCAGATTGTTTACTGCGCACTATTTGCTCCGCTACAGTTATTTTATTTCTTCCATTTGTTCGTGAACTAATCTCATCAACATACTGATTTTGGGAAGCTAAGTTTTGAGTTCTATTTGGAAATAATTGTTTTCTAGGAGATTCATGTTTAACAGTTTGTCGGGGAGAATTAATGCCCATGTCTTCACGCCTTGGTGATTGATCTTCAAGCTCTCTAAGAGAACTGACAGGTCTTCTATGCTCGACTTGTGGTGAGTTGATACCCTGTCTCAATTCTTCCAACAACATTTCCTCTTCTTGTTTATACCTATCTTGAGGTGGCTCTGATTTCCCTCGTGACTGTTTTACAGTCCTGTAATTGTTCTCAACATCCAGTTTCACTCGCTCCACATACAAATCTGAATAATCTCGTTCAATACCAATTTTACCTCCAGAAGGAGAGTGAACTATTGACTTTGCCTCTTCCACTGGTGAAGAGCTTACAACCTGCATTGACTGCATTGACCTTGGAGGCCCATATACTGAGAACACCCAATGTTTTTGAGACTGAAGAGAATCTATTGTCTGTTGTGTAAGTTTCCTTCTCTGATAAAACAGAAGATAGGCAGCTCTAGAGACAATATCCCGTTGCTGAAGAGGTTTCACATGGGTATCATCATACTCGTACCATTTCATATCTACTGGATTCTTACAGAAGGCTGAAATATGAAACATACAGAAATATTTGTCAAAGCTGGTAACCAAAGTGGTCAAATATAAAAACAACCTTGGAGTATGAATTTTCAAAATCTTGTATTTTTTTTTTAATTCTGATAGAAAACTAGGAATGTGTCCATAGGACATGGATGTCCCACATTCTGTTGCAGGACAGTATGACTTAAAGGACAAAGGAAATAATACATGACTCCCACTAGGTGGTTGGGGCATAAATGACAATGCTGACATCTTAATTTTTCCTAATATTGAGCTGCAAGAATTTCAAATCTCAATTTTATATCCTGAAGTATGCTTGAAAAACATAAAAACAAGCAGAACTCCAGATGCACAACTACACATGCAGACCAACATTCATGTAAAGTGTTTCGTGACTCTATGTTAATTTTTTTTTTAGTTAGATATGACATAAGTTGAAACCTGAATTTTTTAATCTAGTCAAGGGAAATACCTTTACAAATACTGAATAAGTCCATACGCAAACACCAAGGTGAACACAAATGCTGACCAACATTGCTGTAAAGTTTCATGACTAGGTCAAATATTTTTTGAGCTACATGCAACACATATTGAAAATTGCAAATTTTTACACAACAAAACTTAATTAATCCAACGCAAAACTCCAGGTGCACAACTTCACAGGCTGATCAACATTCTTGTAAACTTTCTTCATCCTATCTCAAGCACTTTTAAAGCTACATGTGACACAACATGGAACAGATGCACGCACAGACAGGGACAAATCTAAATGCCTGCCAAATGACCCAATTTGAAAATAAGTTAAAAGCTTTTAACTCAAATCAGGGTAAGAATAACACAAAATATGATTTTTTTATTTAATTATAGAGTGTATTTCTTCATTTTCTTTTGTATATTTTTTACTTTTAAGTGTCCCAGTTGACCTCAGAGGAGTTCCTTAAACTGCACATACTGATAATATTTAACTCACCTGTGTAATGACCTCCACTCATGTTACCATAGTGATTAGAGACAGCATAGAGGTCATAGAGGTCAGATGTTATTTTACCCTGTGAAGTGTCATCTTTAATTAACAGATGATGACCCATCTCGAGATCCGAGACTGGAAAGTTCACTAAAATGTTTAGCTTGTTCCTTCTTAACCCAGACTGTAGAAAAAGAAATTAAAATATAATCTTTAAGCAAGCCACTGATAAATACTGTACTTTAAAAGTTTAAAGGATTTAACTCAATACAGGATTGGAGCAGTACCTCTAGACGCTTGCAGAAATCATGATCACAAAAAAGACAAAAATTGTTGTTTTTTTCACCGATTTTTAACATTCTTCATTCATTATCATACCTAAATCGGTGTGAAAAGATGAATTAGACCTATTAAAGTTCATTCCGTTGGGTAAAAAGGCAAGATTTTAGCATTTTATCATTCAAGCGCCTTGTCTGGTATATACTGGAATACGGTATTTAGTGCTGTGCTCCAATCCTTTTTTTAGTCTCACTCAAGTTTAAATTTTAATTATATACAGATTTGTTGATCTCTTTAGTGTTCTCTCTCACATTGGTGTCTGAAATTTGTATCAACTTCAACCCATTTACTTTGTTAACATATACATCAAATGATAATAAAATAAGGCTGAAACAATAACTTATCTCTCCAAACAGTTACTGAGCCTCATTACCGCTGTAAACAGTTACCCTTGACATAGGTATTTCTGTCTATTATGACAGCCAGTGTTTTACCTTTTTCTTGCATATTAAATATTGGTATTTCAAGTATTGATAATATTAGACTTACATGTCTGAATCGTTTAAGATGCATAACAAGAATATCAGGTGCTGACCACAGTCCTAACTTTTTAGTGGCCCCTTCCTGTGTCTTCTCACAATTAGGGCATTGCCAAGCATCGCCATCTCCAAGCTACAAGAATCACACTTATTTTATATTTTGAAAAAAAAGGACTTATTTGGCCTTTTAATCCCAATATAAGGTCATTTTAAATATACAGTATTTTTCCCTGATACTTTGAATTCCAAATCATAATTAGTAAATTACAGTACACTAGTTTAGTAGCTGGCATCAAACATTAAGGACCATTTTAATTTTATACTCTGAACTAACCAAGAGCACACCCACTTGAAAACTGCTGGTGTTGTATGAAGAAACAGAACAGGTTACACATATGAAGGCAGACATCTTTACTGGTAACCCATCACTCCCCTTGATTTGAATCAAAATATCTTAAAACATATCCTAACTTTTATCAGTTGTTTTAAGATATATTGGTGTATATTAGAAAAAATACTTTATAAAACAAACTAGTAAAGTATTTAGTGTTTTAATTTCAAGATTAACCATTTTTTGTTTGTTTAAACAATACGCAACAGATATTCTTACGAAATAAACAAGGATTGTCAATACCTTCTCCTCTTTTGTGAAGAGTTTCAGACATTCTTCCAGGCTAACATATGAAGGTTGTTGCTGATTTAACCGTGCCTTATGTACAGACGGATGTTCCTCAACATAATCTTCATCATCATCGACCAACCTATTTATAAAATATATTAAATTACACCTTCATCAAATACCTTATTTTACGAATACCGTATAAGTACTTATTTCTGAGGGCTTAAAATTCTGCAATTTTTGTAAAAATAAGGGGTTGTTAATTTCTGCGTATCTTATTTCTGCGGTGTCATCAATTCTGCATTGCTGCTTTTTATTTCTGCGTCATAATTCAGATATTTTTACAAAATTAACCGACAAAAACAAACAACATTTCAAGATTTGTTGATGTAACATGTACACTACTCCCGGTTAACAGGCAGAAAACTGATAATGTGTTTCGCCGCAATCATCATGTATCGGATATATAGGATTATACATGTTAATAAACATGCAATGACAACAATTTTAATACTGTATGTGTATAAATATGAAGTGTGAATAATAAACAATGGCAAAATCGCAGTATGCACAAGATATTGTACAAAATCAAAAGAGTATGTTTATTGCACCTGTCATACTACAATAGTTTGATTCTACAAAGGAATCAAGCTAAGGCTGAGCAAAAATCATACAAACATGATATTTATTTAAACTAAAGAGAACAAGCAATGTAACATTTTTTCTAATATTTTATTCACGACAGATACATAAAGAAAAATTCCCACCTACAAAAGCTGGTAACGGTACACGGTAATGTAATTATACAATACCAGTAGTTGACATATTCCGACATTTACAAGGACGGCTTAATTTTCTGCGGTTTTTAAATCTGCGATGTCGTTATGAACCGCAGAAATAAAGTTCCCTCGGAAAATAGTACTTATACGGTATATACCAAAAATGTATTTAATAATTTATAAATTACATCATCATCAATTTATAGTACATGCATATTACATATATCAACATGTTAACATGGCCATCCCCCGCCAAATGTGTTTGCTCATTGGAAGAATATATATGTAGTAGAGCAGAATAATTCAATACTAAGAGGTCTTTTGGTAATGAAAACTGATGGCTGAAGTGATATTAGTTTCAGATTTGAAACCTATGTGAATACTGATGGCTGAAAATAACAAAGGGCAATAACTGAAAAATTATGCATTGTAGCATTATCATTCAGGTGTTGCACTCCTCCTAAATGAGATCTATCCACCTATCAAGTTTCAAGTTGATACCTCTAACACTTTTTGAGATAAGCTCCGTACAAAAAGTATGAAAAATAACAAAGGGCGGTAACTCAAAAATTATAAAGGGAAGAGTTATCATTCTTGCACGCAGCATTCCTCCTCAATAAATAAATCCATTTATGAAGTTTCATGTTGAAATCTCAAAGACTTTTTGAGTTATGCTCCACTCAGGTGAAAAATTAAGTATGAAAAATAACAAAGGGCAATAACTCAAAAATTATGAACTGTAGAGTTATCATTCTTCAGCACTGCATACCTCCTGAGTGAGATCTATCCACCTATGAAGTTTCATATTGATATCTCAAAAGCTTTTTGAGTTATGCTCTAGACAAAAATTAAGTTCGAAAAATAACAAAGGGCAATAACTCAAAAATTATAAGTAGGGTAGAGTTATCATTCTTGTGCACTGCACTCATCCTCAATATGATCTTTCCACCTATGAAGTTTCAAGTCGATACCTCAAATAGTTTTTGAGATACCGGTATGCTCCGGACAAAAATCTCGGACGGAAGGAAGGACGGACGGTGACTATTTCTATATCCCCCGCCCCCTTTTGGCGGGGGATAATAATACTATCATTTATCAACTACTTTATTTATGAAATTAATTCTACCCAATCCTTTGCATAATTTTAAATTAAAAAAATCTAGCACATTTTATAGTTACCACATGAAAATTTGAGGTAAATACATTTCCATTTAAAGACAAATGTTAATACAAAACATTTTTTCTACAATGATGGAATGAAAAATGCTGACATGCAAATAAATACAAGTAGATTTTATCAAGAAAAATATCTTATCAATATCAGATACTAAAGGATAACTGATTCATATAATAAGGATATTAAACAAGAGCGATCAGTAATCACATGTGTCGCCTCATGATGGCCAATTTTATGTTGGGACAAATTTTGTGACAGACGGACAGACAGTGCACAACTAGACTTGGTACTGATCATTCCTGTAAAGTTTGGATGAAATTGCACCAGTAGTTTATGAGGAGTAGTCCGGACAAGTTTTGTGACGGAAGGACGGACAGACAGACAGACGGACAGACAGACGACGGAGAAGTGATCCCTATATGTCGCCTCTACGGGACACAAAAAGGATACTGATCCAGAACTTGTATTTGACTTGATGATTTTGCTGGGCTCACAAGTTACGGATCAGCATGCTCTTATAATGAACATTTTACCTCCTTGAATTCAAACTATGTCAGTATGTGTTCAACCATGATGTAACACCATTACAACATCCCTGATCACTTCTATATAAAATACACATTTTCTTTCTAGCTTTCCTGTTGCATCTGTACATGTGATAAATGCAGATAATATAGCACAATATGTACATAAATACCTTTTTTTCATCTCAGGATCCCACTCTATGACAAACTTTATGTGAGTTGGTCCATAATCATCATTATAGATAGAGAGAGCCCTACAAAAACAAACACTGATTAAATACTGAGCAGTAAGTTGCACCTGGAATACATTAGTCATCTACCAGTTAGAACCCCAACAACATTCTGAATGGGCATTGGCCATTCAGTTATGTCATTGAATGAATGAATGAATGAATGAATGAATGAACAAATGAATGAATGAATGAACTTAAATCTGCTGAGTTCTTAGTTTGTCTATATCCTAGTAATGTGCTCAGTTCCCCTGTCTAGTAATGAAATTATGTTTATACAACAGATAATCAAAAGATCCAATTTTCTCAGGATGAATATTTATAACTAATGTTTCAACTTTTCTCTATCTTAAGTAAATTTGTTGGAAAAGTTCTTTAAAAGTGACCTCAGGAAACAGTTTTTAGGAGCAGACAGACAGACAATCTGACAAGACACCCTGAGGGTAAATCTTTATGGATGCTATATTTATAACCCTTATATTATTATGATGTTGGAGTTTGAAGTAAATGCTATAAGAATCTAAGTTCAAGGGGGACATAATTCTGGAAATAGTCAAGCCAGAGTATTTAACATTCTCCCAAATGATTTGAGTTATAATAAGACACATATATATGAAGTTTGAAGTAGATACAATAAGAAAATTAATAGAGAAGTTATGAAAAACTTGAATCAGAACTCTTGACAAGGTCACTGAAGCTTGGTGAGTACTGGACAGCTCTCAATATACTCCATATAGTAAAGATTAAAATGATGTGTATTATCTCCATACTGCCATCTATCCATATTTTATGTTTCATAAAAATATTTTCAGTACTTTTTGCGTTGTCATTGGATCCAGTGTTAAATTAGCATATTTTCAGTCTATTTGTTGCCATAGCAACCAGTTTTCAACATAGGAAAAAAAGAAAAAAAAACTTGCATAATCTCCAGACTGCCATTTATCCATATATCAAGTTTCATAAAAATATTGTCAGTACTTTTTGCATAATGGCAGGATCCAGTTTTGTGGACTGACAGACGACATACAACCAAATTGGGATTAAGGCCCATTTTTATTGTTATTTTCTTTTGTTTAATAGAGGGCCATGGCCCCTTATTCTATTGTTACAGAATAAATTTTATTGTTCTTTTTTGTTTACAGTTAGAAGGCCCTTTTGCGGACAGACAGACTGATGGTAAACCTAAAGTCCCCTTTGGTTAAACCGGTAGGGGACTAAAAACCCATCAAATCCCCTAAAATCATCACACCAGAGTTTAATCATTTAAGGTTTATTTCTTAATTGTTATTTTCATTTTCTTTTCCTTGAAGTGGATAGAGGACTACAATAAAACTATAAAGTCATGCTCTACCTATCAATTGGTTCTGTATACAGTGGCATGTCAACATCATCTGCTAAGTAACTGTCTTTAGGTCCGCTGTCAACTACTCTGATATCAAATTTGGCACCTTTGTAAGTCTACAACATCAAAGACAACTATTTTATATACAGTAAACACATATGTATTTGTCTTTTTTATGAGGTTCTTGTATAACATGTAATGTCCTAGTCAATAAAAGACAAAAGATAAAATTTATGTAAGTATTGAAGTTGTCAAGAGTGTAAATGAAGAAAAAACAACCTAATGTGCTATCAATAATTGTAATTATTATTTTTTTTTGGTTTAAAACAAATCATTTACCTAATACAAGAGGGCCAAGATGGCCCTAGATCGCTCACCTGATCAATCAAACTCATCAGAGCAATTTCTTAGACAAGCATCCTGACCAAGTTTAATGACAATTGAGTCAAAAATGTGACCACTAGAGTGCTTACAAGGTTTTTCCATATTTGGGCAGTGTGACCTAGTTTTTGACCAAAGGTGACCCATATTCGAGGTTGACCTAGAAATCATCAAAACAAACTTGCAGACCAATTTCCAGGATATTTGGATAACAACAGTAACCACTAGAGAGTTAACAAGATTTTCTATTTTTAGCTCATGTGACCTAGTTTCTCATCAGAGATGACCCATGTTCAAACTAATCTGAGCAAGTACCTCGACAAGCATCCTGATAAAGTTTGATGATGATTGAGGCAAAAATGTGACCATTAGAGTGTTAACGAACAAATGTGGACGGACGACGGATATTCAACGATCCTAAAAGCTTACCCTGAGCAAAAGTGCATGAATTTCATTGGCTCAACTACTGATACATGTATAAACAAATAATGCATGAATCTACAATGTGTTGAAAACAGGCAATTTTCAATAAATCAATAACAGAACATTTTTATAAAAAATTGCAAACTATATCTTGTTTGTTAAAATAACAAAACAGATTAAATTCCTTATTTTTGTCAAAACATTTATTCAAGCAAACATGTGTTAAAAATTTAGGTTTAAAACAAGAATATTTGTTATACCTATAGATGCTCATCTATGTGGCTTTTACAAAACTGAAAAAACGACCTTACTATTAAAAGTAGGAAAATCTTTAATAAGCCATCTAATATCAGGGAGCATAAAAATATCAGCCTTACATTGCTCTGATCCAGTACTCGTTCAGACACTGCAAACCTCATACTCTTTAATATACATCTCTGTAACTGTAAGAACTCTATATCTCTGTTGATCTTTATAACTTCTGGGCAACAAAACCTAAAACTAAACAAATATGTACCAAATTAGTTAAACATGTATTAGAAGCACTAAGTAAATTTTTTCCAGAAAGGATAGTTTTCAAAGTTATGGTACAAAAATGTGTGATTTAAAACAAGCAAGCTTTCTGTGATGCAAGTCAAATGGTGAATGGACCACCATTACCTATGTGTAAAGAAAAGACATTATATTGTTTGATTTTAATTACCAATATCATATGTCCTTATAATTATGTAATCAGGAGTTGATCTGATTAACCTTTATTCATTTTGACTTATATACAATTAGACAACAGATAGCATGACTTGCATCTTTATTGTACATGTAAACATCATTTATATTTACCTTTTGGTAGCAGAAAACTTTTCAATATGGACAATCAAAATTTGGATAAGATCTGATCCTGGTGTTTTGTTAACCTCACTAAACGGAAATGTTTCAAACACATAAATTGTCTCTGATTCATGAATATCTGACAGTGGTTGATCATCACCAAATGTGTTTCCAAACCCTTTCTCATTCAGTTGACAAAGGACAAGCTAAAAAGAAGTTTTAAAAGAATCATTATCAATAAACAGGAGATATTTGCAATAAAAAGCTTACAACTTACTCAAAATTACTCCATTTTTTCACATATAAAGCAGCAGAGGGCAAAGCTAAAAGCTTTGTTCTTTTAGAGATAATAATTAGCAAATGATTTCTTTGTGATAGATTTTGATTCACTTGTACATTTTCAAGGATCAGAAGATTAACTCAATCACAAATGTATTTATAAGCAAGATAATGTATTAACAAAATAGTGATCAAGTTTTTCATAACATACAAAACTAAAATTCATATGCATTATGTAGCTAGTGTTAAATCATGGCTACACACACACACTACAGAATAATGTCATTATGTGCATCATTGTAACACAATTTGTACTACAACAAAGTATAACTTTTTGATTTGATCATTACAACAATGTATTTTAATACAATAACATGAAGAAAGTAGTCAGTAAGTAAGTATATGTACCCACCCTCTTTGGTGTAACATATAGTTCATGTGCAAGTTTGTCCCTTAGTTCTCTAATGGAGTCCATGATGTTCATTTCTAAGGCAATTCTCAACTGCTTTGGTGAATCATCTAAGTACACAACTGTTATATATACTGGACGTGTGCTTTTTTGAGGTACAGGAAGTGAAAGACAGAGGTATGATTCGTATGTATTGCTTTGCTTCTTGCAATCAAGACATGTTAATGATGATTGGTACAATGCTTGGAATTTATTGTAAATATCAAAGCCACTGCAAGCATTCAGAACCACTTCTGGACTTGTTAGGACTGTCACTTCATTCTAAAGAAAAGGAATTTGTGATTAATATTACTATTTACAATTATGGTTTTTCATTTAAAATCAAACAATTATCAGCAAATGATTCATAAACATTATAAAAGTCTATTATAGTTTATGTTATCAGCATTAACCATGATACAATTAACGTTACGCAGGTTTGTAAAATACATATAAATGTATGTTACTCACTTACATGTACTATCAAAATCTGCTAATAAATTATAATTATGTAATCATCACAGGGATGGAAAATTCCACTCGTCCAGATTCAAAGTGAAATCTACTTTGCTGTGCTTTTTTACTTACTGCATAGACAGTTTTTTACGTATCACACAGCGCTTCACAATACGCCTCTGGGCATAAGTAAAAGGCGACTTCTGATAATTGACTGCATAACATATGTGTGTGACATGATATGCAGCGCCATCGGAAATATTGAATTCGTCGATGTAAACATCCCAATTAATAACTCATAATTTATATGACATGATGTGTTACTTTTAGATCTGCGAGTTTAAAAAAGTTACACTCTCAATCGGTCCAAGCATATTTGGCAGTAACAACAAGCAATGTCACTTAGACTGTGTAAATGTACTTGCATATAGATTAATACATAACAGGAGCACAAGTAAATAGCTCACTACAGTTATTTTCGCATCAAATTAAATGTTGGCAAATGTCGCAAAAATACAGATTGACGCAGGGCTTCCAATAAGTTTCAAAATCTGGAACTCAGAGACTACAAAATCTCTAATATATAGTAAGTCACATTATATAGGTAAAGAAGAAAAAAGCATTAAATTTTGGAAGTCAAAAGCCAAAATCAAGGAGTAAATGACTCCCAAACTTCCATTAACGGAAGCCCTGTTGACGGTCGATAAATTGATCATTTAAAAACAAATAAAGAATGAAGAATTTATAAGTTTTAGCGATCAGTATTTTTTTTCATGTTTTGTGTACTTTACTAATGCTTTACAAGCATTTCTATAAAAGAAAATTTAAAAAAAAAAAAAATGATTTACATATGATAAACAGAAAAAAAAACTTTTGAAATCATAATCTTTATTTGATTGAAATGATAGCGCTATGATGTTCACCACTTGATTTCAGTCGATTTAATTTAGGACTTACTGTATATCTAATAATTTATGCAATATAATACTTGTTAAAAAAATACTAATTAAAAAAAAAATTGTGTTTGAATTAAATTTAAAAATATGTATATATGTATTATTGTTATGTACACCTTTAATGGCAGCAGGCTTTATACAATAATTTAAAGATGACTATTACAGTATTACTGAGTAAATGGATAAAAATAACTTTTTATAGATCAAATCAATGCGCTTAGCATCCTTTCACTTCTCCTTATGTCCTCAAACTTCTCCTTGATGGGAGCAGAGTGAGAAGTCACTTCTCCCTAAATTTTTGGTCTAGCTACAGCCCTGGTACTGTACACCTATATTCTAATTAATAAGTAAATGTATCAATTTAACACAAATTTAACACAGACTAGTATTCATCAGTTTAAATATAAATATAATCACCTTTTCCTTTTTAGTTTTAGAAAGTGTTTCTTTTGCCTTTTTCTTTGAAGAATGGTGAAGCTCATCATTAAGTCTATCAAGCAGCCAAAGTAAAAATTCTTGTGCATCATGCTGAGATGAACCTTTATACTGTACATTGAATTTGCTTACTACATTCTTAAAATGACTTGAAATTTCAGGTGTATAAGATCCTGACCATAAAGTTTCTAAAAGGCGTCCCACCTCTTCACAAACTTCACACTTAGATGCACCAACCAGCCTTTTAGTGAAACCTTTTCCATTAAACAACTCTTTGTATTTTTTCTGTATAAAGTACTCAGAGAATAAGTCTGTGCTACTAAGGCACTGAAGGATAGTGTTCATAAAGCAAGTGTTGCCATGGTTTTGAATTCCAAGTATTCCAGGTGGGGCGTCCCATATCGGCAGTTGTACAGAAGACGATAGCTGTGTCATGTGGGTTTGATGAGACAAAATACTCTTTTGAGAACTATGGCTAACATCATCATCATAACGAATGACTTGTAATTCCGAGTCATTTGCTGGTGACCGTCTTCGTTTAGATGTTGGTGTCAGGCCTCCTTTTAATTCAACTGGAACATAATCACAATCACTCGTAGCACCACGACTTTTATACTCTAACATAGGCACATTCATATAAAATAAAGTCTATAACAATTAAAAAAATCATGTAACCAAATAATTTTAAAATATCATAGTAAATCACGACTGGAGACGAGTTACATTTTAGATGATTTTCATTTTTTGTTTTCCTTAATCTACTTCGGCTTTCTTAATCATTTCCGTAACTTTTCAAACAAATGAACATGTTGCCAGTGGTAAAACATTAAAAATACCACATAACCTTTTATGATCCTGTATAAATCTACATTGGTAAAGCGCGTGAAACAAATATTCAGTAAATATATTCTGTATTTCCGTGTTACCTGTCAATTAGAAACCATGTTTACATAGAATTGTGGGTAACAGGTGTTTTTTTTTGAAAACGAGGCTTTGTTGTTTTTGATTTATCGGAAAATCAAAACAACTTTCATCGATCAGTCAGTCAAGACAGACAGCCTGACGTATCAGTAGAATTTTCCAAATTTGAACGAATAAAATTAACGAATGACAACTTAATTCATTTATGTGGAAAATTTAATCAGTAAATTATAAAAATATAGGATTTAGATTAACTACGGCTTTAATTAAGTCTGTGAATTAAACTGTCTGGGGCGCGTTGTCAAATAAAGCAGACCTATTTGATGCTGGTTCATGTGTTACTTCCATACAATAACCAGGGTCATTCAAACAATTGAAAGACCATGCAATAACCAATAATATCTGGGATATAACGACATTTTTTATGTTCCAGATAATATATTGGGACTCTGAACATACATCATATCTTAAAGAAGGCTTAAACACAAGTCCTGTGTATGATAAATTCCTGAACATCATTGATGATCATAACCTTGTACAAATGGTCAATGAAAGTACACGAAATGACAATATTCTTGATTTATTGCTCATTTCAAACCACACTCTTGTTAACAACGTCAAGGTCATACCTGGCATATCAGATCATGACATCATATCCACAGAAATATCTTCTAGGCCTACCCTCCTCAAACAAAAGCCTCGTACTTGCACCTTGTATAAAAAGGCAAACTGGACCGAGTTGAAAACTTTCATTAAAACCTCAACATCTGAAATACTTGAAAAAGCTGAATCTTTGTCTGTTGAAGAACTTTGGTCGCAGTTCAAACACACACTTGAGGATGGCATATCAAAATTCATACCCACTAAAAGAATTACAGCTAAACCATCTTTGCCCTGGATAACAAAATCCATTAAAAAATTAATTCATAAAAGAGACCAGCTCTATAAAAATATTAAAAAACCAAAAACAAATAAAAATAAATCTGATCATGATCAATGGCTAAAATTTAAAAATTTGAAATCGCAAATAAAAGCTAGAATTAAACAATCATATGAGTCTTACTTAGAAAACATCCTGAACCTTGCAGATGATGATGATGAAACTAATACACAAAGTAAAGTCTGTACCAAAAAACTATACACACTTATAAAAAACTCTAAACAAGATTCACAAAGTGTGTCTCCATTAAAAGATCAAAAGACTGGTTCTCTCAAAATTAATAACACTGAAAAAGCAAACATTCTTAACAAACAATTTCAATCAGTTTTCTCACCAATTATACCACTTACACTTAAAGATCAATGTATACAAAAACTGAGACTCATGGATCCCAGAAAGTATTGTCAGTACCCACAAATGAATGACATCATCATCAGTAGGGCAGGTGTACTAAATAGTGTTGTCCCGATTGTCTCTGAAAATCGATAACTAATCGGACCACCCCAAAATCGGCAACAATCGATAGTCATTTTTAACAATCGATTATTTTAATGTTCTACCACCGCTGAATTGCTTAGGGCGTAACTTTTTTACACACAGTCAAATAGAAGTTTACCGACCAAATCTCTTTAATTCCAGAGGATCCTATAGTCTTTTTTTGTTTGCCTTATCAAAAAGATATACAGAAAAAACATGGCTAGTGAATAAGTGGGCAATTTGAACGACTTTGTTTCCTGAACACCAAAGCAAATTCATCTTTGCCTCTCACAAAGTAGTATTAGGTATTTGTGTTGTTTGTTTTGAATTCAAAGAGTAAATCTTACTTTAATCAAGGAGACAAGAGCTTATTTATTCTCAAAATATGGTCACTACTGTATAAAAATACATACAAGGATTGGTACCTTAAAGGAAAAAGGGCCAAAAAATGCAAAACTCACCACCCACAACATACTCTTTGATCTTCAGCATGGATTCAGAGAAAGACGATCATGTGAGACACAACTCATTGAACTTACTGATTACCTTGTGAACAACCTTTCAAATGGCAAACAAACAGATCTCATACTTCTTGACTTCTCCAAAGCATTCGATAAAGTAAACCATCTTAAACTCTTAGATACCCTTCAAGAACATGGTGTTTGTCCTCAAATTATAAACTGGATACAGTCCTTCCTTATTGGCCGTAGACAGACAGTAGTTGTGGATAGTGACTGCTCATCTGAAGTCCCAGTTACCTCTGGAGTGCCCCAAGGCTCTGTCCTAGGGCCCCTTTGTTTCCTTCTATATATCAACAAGCTACCATCTTCTGTCCTTAAATCCCAAGTCAGATTATTTGCAGACGACACTGCTGTATACTTAACCATCAATTCCTCCTCAGACCCCCCAACTCTCCAACATGATCTAGACAATATGGTTCTGTGGGAGAAGCAGTGGGACATGGAGTTTAACCCTTCAAAATGCCAAGTCATCCATATCACCAAAAATAAAACCATAATTAAACACAAATATATGCTCCATGGCCAAGTCCTAGAGTCTGTTACAAATGCTAAATATCTCGGACTAGATCTATCTGCTGACCTGAAATTTAATACACATATATCTCGAATAACTTCCAATGCAAACAGATCCCTTGGCTTTATTAAAAGAAATGTCATCACTAAAAATGAGAAAGTGAAAGAACTAGCATACAAGTCCCTGGTCCGCCCACAGGTTGAATATGCCTCAACTATTTGGTCACCTTACACTAAAACCAATATTGACAAAGTTGAGATGATCCAGAGACGCGCAATTAGATGGGTTAAAAGGGATTACTCCCCTCACTCTAGTGTCACAGCATAGTGTCCCTCATAGCATTATACTATGGAATAAACTTCCTAGTAACATTGCCACCCTGCCCAACCTGAGTCAGTTCAAACAGGCAGTGGTGGGTTTGCAGTACTAGTCTTACTCCCAGTGTTTTTAAACTATTTTATCTCTTATCATCTTGTTTCACTATTAACATTTTAACCATGACTAGAATACATTTTCAGTCTCACCTTCCAAGCATGTCAATGTTTGGACTTTTCTTTTTTAGCTTTTCTTTTCACCTTTTACTAACAATCCGACGTGCACTAAATTCCTGCCTTTAACACTCGTAAGAGGGGTTGGCAGTATCCAGAGATAGATAAATATATATACGCGGATACTGGTGCATGTCATGCGCAGGGTACCGTTTGTTTTCAGTTTTAATCATTTTTAAAAGAAGGGGACATACATATACCGACGAGCAATTTATGGTACCTTTAACTTATAGATTGGATCTTTCTCAAATTTTACAAGCGCGTGTTTGGCTACTTTTTGCACATGCTTTTAATTAGGTCACTCATCCGTGATAAGTTCTGCATGAACATGAGAAATAAATATGAGATTCAGCTGCATGTCTGCACGAGGAAAGTGTTGATATCAGAGACGTTAAAATACATAAGTAATATGTCTCTGGTGTTATGTTTGTTTTTTTCCCCAATTATTAATAGTCTCTGAAAGTTACCCACACGGATAGACAAAAAGTATCTTTAACATGTAAAGTGATTTGCATGCAATTTCTTATATACTAGCAAAGAAGTGACTACATTACTTTTAAATGTGCTTTGTAAAAGCTGCCTTTTATAAATTTCATAAAGCAAATTGCTACAATTGTTTAATAAAATGGGTTTCATAGCGACATCCCGTTTTTTTATTTTGGTGCCCAGACGACAAAAATGAGCTTTATAAACTTTAAAAGTCAGCGACCTCATTATAGCGAAATCGAGAGTACATTTCCTATTTACATGTGAAACTTCGCCTTTGGTCATCCGAACATCAACAGAAAATCGTTCATTATCAATGAAAATATTGATCTTGCATGTGAACTTTTTACTTTAGATATTGCTAAGCAATGCATTCCAACATATACAGCGTTAGTTAGGCCTAAAGATAAACCTTGGTTTAATTCCGAAATTCGAAAAACATCGCGACTTATGGATAGACAATTTCATAAAGTATTGAATTCAAATAACATATATGACTGGAAAACATCAACAACAACAACACAACAAGAAATAATGTTAATTATATAAACAAAAATGCTAAAAACGTTTTCTACTACAATTTAGAATTTTCACTAAACGATCTTAATAGTAATTATTCGCGCAAATATAGGAAAACGGTAAAAATGCTCGTCAAAGAAAACTCTTCTGATTCGGGAGATATTCCACGTCTTAAATGTAATATCACAGATATATCATTTTCGGACACAAAAAAAGCAAATACGTTCAAAGGTTTTTTTTGTTTCATTTAATGTTGTTTTTTCTTCACTCTTTCAATTTACTTTGTTTTAAATGCTGTAAATTATATCCCCTTAAAACTTTTGTTTTGTGCTGTACGCTCCTTACAAATGTATGTCTCAGTATAATTGTTTGTTTTGTTTGCTTTTAATTAAAAACTTCTTTTTTTCTCCACCCATAAGTTTGTGTATGCATACTCTAGTTAATTTTAGTTAATTTTTTATGTCTAGTTTTTATTTGTTTGGGTCGTCAGACCAAACAAATAATGGTAGCGAAATTTCAGACCCTGATATGCTTATTTGCAAAATTCGCAAGTAGTCCGTCACGAACTCCTCGAAGCGGTTACATCCCTTTATAAGTACACAAACGCCGACAAATTAAGGGGAGATCACTGAATAAAGATTGTCAAATGACAGGCGCATTCATTTTCAAACCTTCTCACGGAAGAAAAAATATTTCCCGATTGGTCGAAGATTTCTAATATTGTGTAATTCTTTAGCATTTCCGCAAATTACCTGTAATATATTTGTCGTATGGTCCCTTTCACATGTAGGAATGGCTGCTTATGCCTGTAAGGACATAAAACATACGCCTTGAAAAATAAATAAACAAGATAAAGTATTTCTGGCGCAAACCAAGAGAAATATTTATATCAGAATGCAAAAATAGAGTTCCGAAATACATAAACGATCAATGGAAATATGCATGATAATGAAACATAATGAATAACAACAATTACCTGTAAGGGCATAAAACATACGCCTTGATAAATAAATAAACAAGATAAACAATTTCTTGCGCAAA